ACGAATCCTAGCTGCGGGCGGAGGAATATCAGGTGCATCTCTACGCCCTGAGGGCTAGACTCCTACACTTAAATCCCTCCCACTGGAACAGCCGGCTCCAGTTTCACCGAGCCAGCGTGAGAACAGAACCTGCTCCTCAGCCCCGCGTCAGCTCGGCAGAGACACATCCTCAGGCCACCGCAGGAGCGCAGGCAGCAGGTACGAAGCAGGAGCGCAGGCAGCAGGTACCAGCAGGTACGTGCATCTCTCTCCTCTCAGAACTACCCCTGCGTCTTTCACCTGGCTGAGGAGCAGCTGGATGGTGGGCTCTGCCTCCCTCCCAGCCTCCCTCCCAGCCTCCCTCCTGGCCGGGATTACTCAGAACCCAGCAGGTGCACAGCGGGGAGCAGGCAGGGCTGAGGCTCTGCTGGGGCTGGCACTTCACTTAGAGTGTGGCCAGGGCCGCCCGCTGGGAACCCAGCGCTGCTCCCTCCTGCCGCGGAACTGGGGAAGGGAACCAAGTGTGAGCTGTTGACCATGCCTTACAATGAACTCTGGTTTCTACATGAAAAAGGCAAGAAACGTGTGTGCGGGCATAAAGGTTGCTGTCGCTGGTTTTAGTTTTAGTTTATTTGTTAAAACTTTTTCTTGGGCCAGGTATACTGGGGATTAAACCCACGGGTGCTTACCCACTGAGCCACATCCCCTGCCCTTTTTGAGACAGGGTCTTGCTAAGTTGCCCAGGCTGGCCTCAGCCTCCTGAGCAGATTTCTTACAACTTTTCAATTTTAAAATAAGTTCTGTTTTGACACAACCTTTCAAAAACAAAACTTGGCCAAGGAGATACGCTTTTGTTTCTTGTTAAGGTCTCTCTCTCTCTCTCTCTCTCTCTCTCTCTCTCTCTCTCTCTCTCTCGCACACACACACACACACACACACACACACACACACATACACACACCACACACAAGCTGTTTTTCCTTCTATGAAATTTGTCATGAATCTATATGAAAACAATCACTAACCAAAAAAAGGAAAAAAAAAATTATTCACCAAACCTCTGGTCAAGTCTGAGCAAAGTCAGACATGGCTTCTGCAGGTCTGTCTGCGAGGCTAGCCCAGCACCTGCCTCCTGTAGCAAAGACCCTACAGAATCCTAGTGGGGTGGGCCGAGGATGGCCGGGAGAGCCGAGCTCGGGGCAACCTGCGTGGGCACTGTGATGGCACCAGCCCCTGGCTGCTCTGCCCCTTTCTTCCAGAGACCCCAGAGACTGCCCTCTCCCTGGGTGATGGCTGTCCTAAAGGCCCTTCATTTCAGGGCACAGAAAGTCTGGGAGGGAGTGGTGGCCAGTCGCTGCAAAAGTGCCACTGGACTCACAGATCCCGTTCTTGCGACACCCGGTGGGTAGCCGACACTGGCGTGTCCTGGAGTGGCGCAATCCTGCCACATCACAGCACTGTGATTACAGCGTGCCCTTCAGGACGGTGCACCTGCGGGGCTCTGTGCCAGGCGGCCGGACACCAGCAGGAGGAGCCTCACGGCCCTGCTCGGCACGCAGGCCAACAGCAGGTCAGGCAGAGCTGCCCAGCCTGCCCAGGGCTGCCCCACAAAGCCAGGCTGTAATTACCCGTGTGTCCTACAAAGTCCTTAAAAGCGCTCCTGGTCTGCTGCCCACGTTCAGACTCCTCAGAACCTCTGTGAACAAGCCAGCCGCTCCCCACGGCCTAGGGCCAGCGCCACCCTAAATGTCCACCCTCAGGAGCCTGCCCCAGTCAAGTACTTGACAGGCAAGACCAGCCTTCTGTGGCAGAGCCGAGCAGCTGGACACCGGGACGTTTAGTGCTGAGGTCACAGCAGGACCCTCAGTGCAAGCACTTGTTGCACCCCAAGTGTTTCCAAGTGACTGTGCCCACTGTCCTCAGTGTGGACACCGTCTGCACTATGACCAAAGTAATCTGGAGAGGGCAGTACTGGGGCAGGCAGAAGAGGGAGGGCACCCAGGCCAGGAGGCTGCGGAGACGCCCTCCTGCCCCCCCACCCCAGCGGCAAGTGTGAGACAGGGCAAAGACGCAGGGCAGCAAAGGCAGTATGAACAGGGGAGAGACACCGCCCAGCAGCAGGAAGTCCCAGGCTCCCTCACCTTTAGAAACTCTGCCTTGGAATGCAAATCCCCATTACTGTAAACAGTGAGGCTCTGGATTTTGCTATTTGGGCAACAATGCGCTCTTTTTGAATATTAACACCAGCAGCTGCCAGAGAGTATAAACTTCGATGGGCATAAACTGACCAGGCGGGACTACTTCAAACCTCTGCCACAGACATGGAGGCAGACAGTGGTCACGGCTGTAGGTTAGCTTCTTCATTCCCATAAACCTCTGAGTAGGAGAGAGCGCTCCCGGGCTGACATCATCGCCCGAAAGCTTACAAAAGCTTCCATTTTATCCCACTTACCTCCCAGCACGGCTGCAGTTTATAGGCAAGTAGCTGTGCCTGTCTGACACCTGCAGCCAAGCGCCCCTGCTTCAATTAGCAATTGTGCAACCAAGAGGTTAGTTTATCCAAGTCCCAAGTGCCACCTGGGTCTCCCTCTCTGGGCTGGTCCCCACCAACAGTAAGCCCCGGACGGCAGCTCTCCCCTCCCAGACGCTGGCATCAGGACACGGGGCTCACCCAGCCCATCTGCCATCCTGAAAGCTAAGTGGCCAGAGAACAGAGGCAAATGGGGGCCGGGGGTTGTACTCGCAGCTGCTCAGGAGAAGTGGCAGGAGGACGGCAAGTTCCAGGCCAGCCTGGGCAGCTTAGTGAGGCCCTGTCTCAAAACAGAAAACAAAAAGTGCTGGGGATGTGGCTCAGGGATGAGCAGCTGGGTCCAGTCCCCAGTACCTGGAGAAGGAAAGGCAAATGGTTCAGACCAAAATCTCACTGACGGAGGGACCTGGGACCCCCGAGGGCAGCCCACCACAGCCATGTGCTTCTCTGAGGCCCCAAAGCTCTGCAGCACTGAGCCAAACTGCTTGGAAGCGCTGCTGTCGCTTGCTGACGTCCTTCCCAGTGCACAGATTGGGGTCCACGTCCGCCCTGGGTGTCGCAGGACATGGATCCCACTTGATAAGTGCCTGCAACTGTCATCACCTTGGTCACGATGCTGCAAGTGATGAAATCAGCTCCCAGGGCTGGGCATGACACATCCCAGGCAGCCATGGGAACCGGGCCTGCAGAGGTTCTCACGCCTCCGGAATCGGGAGCGCACGGAGCGTGCCCGCACAGGCCCGCTGAGTTATCTCCCTGGCCCAAGGGCTGGAATTGGGCCCCAGGCTCCCTCACCTGCTGGGAGGCAAGGAAACCCTGCTGTTACCCAGGCCAGACCTGCCCCCCAAAGTACAGGCTGAGCCCATCAGGATCCCTTCATGATTCTTCTTTTACTAAAGAAGGAAAAGAGAAGCCACAGAGCCGCCGTCAGGCACTCCCTGCTCGGCTCTGGCACAGCTGCGAGTGGCTGCAGCAGCGGCCCTGGCAGGCCCACCACTCCACACCCGTCCCACGGCTGTGCCCCACCAGCACTCCCTGCTTCCCCACGGAGGGTCTCACCAACGAGCAGGGCCCACTCTCCCACCCAGCCACTTCTCAAAGCTCAGCTGTGTGAACAGGTGTGGGGTCGCTGGGCAGCTCTTCACGCTCCCAGGAACCACGAGTAAGTTAAGAGACGGCTCTCTCGGAACCTCGGGTGCCCAGACGAGGCCCAGCCCGACCCCAGCTGCAGATCCCAGTGGCTGCTGTGCCGAGAGCTGCTCCCTGAGGGTCTGGCCACTCCACTTCACAGCTGAAAATGTGCTTCTCACACCATTCCCACGGGACCTCCTCTGCGGGCTGACTGGAGCCTCTGGGTGCTGGAGGAGACCCTTCCTTTCACATTTCCTGTACGGAGGGAGGTGCCTGGTCTGGGTTCCTGGTCCCTCACACACTTCTCCAGGCCTCCCAGGCCGGCACTGCCCTGTCCCTGTCCTCAGCTCTGGACTGGGGGCACATCCACCCAGTGCAGGGTGGCTCTAGAGGACACCTAGGGCTGGGACACGCCGCAAGACCCTAGGGGAAGCAAAGGGGCAGGCGTGAGCCACGTGGCTGAGGCCAGGCCCACTTCCTAGGGGCTGAAGGCCAGCAGCCTCCTCCACGATCTAGGCCACGTGCTCCAGCCTCCTCGTACCATGCGGGATAAATGGCTTTGGTGCTTGTGTTTGCAGGCACAGCCAGGGAAGAGCAGGGTGAATGTGAGTGCTGACGAGGCAGGCAGTGGACCCATGCAGTCACTAAGACTTGCTGACTTGCCCTGACAGCACGGCAAGCCACTCAAGTGGACCTAATACGGCATTTAAGTCTGCAGTGAGACAACCCCAGTGCGACTCACGAGGGCCAGGCGGGAGCGGGTGACAGTGCGCTGGTAACACAAGGGCACCGGCTGCACTTCCCTGGTTAAGCACCAGGTTTCGGGAGCCTGGGCACAGGTCACTGCAAAGCAGGCAGCCAAATGGCCCTGTGACAGCGCCTGGGGACAACCAAGGGAGCTGGGGCTTGGCCCCTGCAGAGCACTCTCCAGGGAAGGTCCCATCACGGGATACAGGCTCCCAGAGAAACGCAGCACTCTGCACTGACACTGACCCTCCACGCCTGCCACCTGACCCCCAGCCAGCGCTCTCGGTCAGGAGCTAGTGGAGGACAAGAGGCTGCAGGTGCAGAGGACGCGTGGCCGCTCCCGGCAGTGCCTCTGCTCCAACCCTGCCCAGTGCCCGGATGGGGACACCTTCCACCCACAGCCTCCCCTGACTCCAGCCTCTGCTCTGCTTTGCAGCTCCGGGAAGCGGGTGCGAGACCTTCCTCGCCGGGCCCTCGGCACGTGGAGCTGGCTCGGTCACGGGCACACGGCCACAAGGCGAGACGGGGGCTCGCCTCCCTGGACCCGGTGTCTGGACCAGCGAGGAGCGGGCAGTGACCACGCCACGTGGCAGACCCCGGTCAGACCGACACCATGAGCCTCCTCAAGGAGAGGAAGCCCAAGAAGCCACACTACATCCCGCGGCCCCCAGGGAAGCCCTTCAAGTACAAGTGCTTCCAGTGCCCGTTCACCTGCAACGAGAAGTCCCACCTCTTCAACCACATGAAGTACGGCCTCTGCAAGAACTCCATCACGCTCGTGTCAGAGCAGGACCGCGGCCCCCGGTGCCCCCGGGCCCACGCACCCGACCCCAGGCCCCCCCGGCAGCAGGCGCCCACGGCACAGCTGGCCTCTCCCCAGCCCCTCACGGACGGCCTCCCAGGCTTTGACCCCAAGCCCCAGCAGGGCTCTGGCAAGGAAGACGCCGAGGAGAGCCTGAAGCTGCAGGCGCGGAGGACCCACGCCCTCCCGCAGAAGCCGGGCCTCCAGCAGGAGGAAGCCTCAGAGGCAGCCCGGGGGACACAGCCTGCTCTGGACCTGGCCCGGCCTTCGGCGTTCATTCCAGTCGGGGAGCACAGACTGAAGGGGCCCGAAAACACGGAGGGGCCCGAAACGCTGTCATCCACCAACCCCACCACCAAAGCCCCAGCCTTCCACACCAAGTCTGCGTTCCACGCTCCTGGCTACCCCTGGAAGGCGGGCTCCCCGTTCCTCCCACCTACCAAGGGGTTCAGTGCCATCTCCCCTTACGTGCATCCCACGATCCCAGAGTACCCCCCGCCCTTCTACACAGAACCCGGGCTGGCCGCCATCTACTCCCCCTACCTGCTGGCCGGGAGCGCCCCCGAGTGCGACACCACTCTGCTGTCTGTCTACGGGGCCCCAGACCAGAGACACTTCCTGCCTCCCCCGGGGCCCCTCCCCAAGCACCTGACCCCGTCTCCGTCAACATACGATCACTACAGATTCCTCCAGCACTTCCACCCCAGTCTGCCGGTTCCTTATGGATTCTACAGACCAGAGTCTGCCTTCTCCTCCTACAGCCTCAGGCTCCCGCCCCTCGCTGGCATCACTCGGGAACAGAGTTCCCGCCTCCTTGAAGAGGCCACCCTGGCCTACCCAGCCTCGAGTCCCTCTGAGTTAAGCCCTTCAAACTCCCACAAAAAACACACAGAATTCGAGAAAGAAAGTCCAATTCCTGAAGCTAAAGACCCCTCCAAAGATGGGCAGCGGGACCTGGAAGGAGCCAAAATGAGCCCCCGGGCAGGCAGTGCAGCCACAGGCTCCCCAGGAAGGCCAAGCCCCACCAACTTCACGCAGACGAGCCAGGCCTGCGAAGGCCTGTGTGACCTCTCCAACAAAGGGTCCCCAAGTGCCCCAGGATGGCGCCCGCAGCCCGAACAGAGCCCCACAGCCTTCAGACCCGTCCCAAAGAACACAGCCTGCCCTCACTCCCAGGTCCCGGCAGACAGCACAGAGTCTCCAAACAGGTAAGAAAGCTTCACTTCTGGGCTGGGGGCGTGGCTCCGTGGCAGAGCACGTGCCTGGCATGTGTGGGGCACTGGTTAGACTCTCAGCACCACCACGTAAAAAATAAATCAGTAAATAAACGGTATTGTATTCATGTACAACTAAAAAAATTAAAATTGAAAAAAAAAAAAAGAATTACTTTCTCAACTTTGACACAGGCTTCTTGGTTGTGCTCGGCCAGCCAAGTGCAACCTGATTAGATGTTTTGTGCTCCTTTCCCTAAGCAAATGCCCACTAAGCCTTCTCTTGGCTTCTTCTAGCCTCGAGGCCGGGAATGGAGACCCTCCAGCTCAGACGGCAAGCCCTCTTCCCACCACCGAGGCCGCACACGCCATCCCCGAGGATGGCTCCAGGACAGGCCCCCTCAACCTCTCCAAGAAGTCAGAGCCAAGACCTGCAGCTGCTGGAGGAGCCGTGTACCCAGGAAGTGCCAGGGCAGAGGCCCCAGGTTTCACAGAGTTGCAGGACTTGCCCCTCAATCTCTCTGTTAAGGACCCCTGCAATGCCCGGGCTCCAAGGCCTGCTGTCCCCAGCCCACTGCAAAGTGCAGAACCCGCTGCTGCTCCCAGGACTGGGAGAAGAAGTCCCCGAGATGGCTCAAGTTGTGCTGAGGCCCAGCAGGAGGAGGGCCCAGGTGGGAAGGCCCCAGCCTCCCGCGTGGTGGACAGCAGCGACGAGCAGAAGCAGACGGCAGCTGTGGCCCTCTGTCAGCTGGCAGCCTACAGCCCGGGAAATGTGAGGGTGGGCGAGGGGGAGCCCACCACCCAGGAGTCAGGCTGCCAAGATGCACCTACTCCGAGCTCCACAGAGAGCCAGGGGACTCAGTGTGACCTCAGACCCAAAGGACAAAAGAGGGCAAGTCAAAGAGACACAGGAAAATCACAGCAAGGAAGTAAGAAGACAAAGCCAAGTGACACGGCCGCGCGAGTGTTCACCCTGCGCAAGAGGACCCGGGTGTCGTGAGACCCGCCAGGCCCAGGGCCCTCTCCACAGGCCGAGCCATCACTCCCCAGTCGGCTGCCACAGAGGCAGCTCTCTCTTTTCCACCCTCAGGACGCTGCAAGGCCCTTCCGTCTCTGGCTGTAGGAATGTCCGAGACTGGGGTCTGGCCTGCTTCTCTGCAAGTGGAACGCGCCCCCGGTTCTGACGGCCATTTTGGTCCGGGACAGACGGCTCTGACTGTCCGTGACACTTAGCCTCAGCAGTCACTACAGAACACGCCCACTGGCTGGCTCACCAACACGAGGCTATCTACAGAGGTCACCTGCTCCATCAGGGAAACGCACACTGGTGAGGGCGAGATCTACTTGTGCCAACTTCCCGACCTCTCAGTCTCACTCCCTATCCCTAAAATGACTTGTATGTTGCTGACTCTCCAATAAATTCATGTGAACTTCAAGGGTACATAAAATGGGGACGTGTGAAATTCTGTGGCATCTTTTGGAGTATTTTGCAATGATGGTGAAGGAAGAGTTGATGGCTGAGGCAGCAGTGAGCCCGAGCAGGCAGCGAGTGGGGGTGTGCGTGGCGTGTGCTTGTGACTAAACCAGTGGCCACTGCCTGCCCTGGGGGCTCCTCGAGGACCATCCCGGGTCCTGGGCCCCAGAGGCTGGAGCTGGGCCAGGGCTCCCTCCCTGCCCTGTCCCCACACCACACGGCTCCCCCTCATGCCGGCCTGCTCCTGAACCCGGGCGTGGGTACCAGGGGCCCTCCCTTGGGGAGGTGACTCAGTTCATGGCCACACGAGCACCGAGGCCCACAGCACTGCTGGGGGCGAGCGTGGGCTCCCGTGGCGCATGGGAAAGCCCACACCAGGAGCAGTGCAGCTCTTCAAGCTGCCGATGCTCCCAGCTGTCGACTGAGGGAACGAGGCCTCCTGACACTGCAAGCTCAGACAGAGGAAAGTAGGGTTCATGCAAAACCCTGCCCGATTCTGGAGGAACACGCCTTGCCAGGGACACCCTGAACTAAAATTACTGGCCCCTAGCTGCACGTTAGCAAAGTACTCTTTCAGCTTGATTTGAATCAATAATTTTTCCAATTGTTTTCACTTATTTTTTAAAAAGACACAAAAGTCGGGTTTGATAATGGAGTTCCACGTGAAGTTCCAGACTGATAATTTTTTAAAGACTCAGTCTAGAAAAACTCTTCCTTTGCAATAAAAAAATCTCAAAATCTCCACTAAAAATTTTGCTTTGGGAGACACATGACAAGGAGTCAATTAAATATTCCTGAGTAGAGTTTTCTGCATCAGGAAAAAATTCTCCAGGAAAGTAGTGAAAATGAACTCACAGAAAAAAAAAGGAGGAAACTCCGTGAGAGAAAACTGCCCTGGGTTTTCATGCAGGCGACAGACATGAAGCTGAAGAACCAGCTGCCCTGCACGTACTCAGGAGTGGCACAGTGCTTGACCTTAAACCACAGTGTGGAGAGCAGAACGGGGCTTGTAACTGGATAAAGTCATAGAGAACTGGACACACCAACTTGTAGACGACGGCTGCAGACCACCGCTAGGCGAGGCACCGAGGCCTCTGAGCCCGGGGGAGGGCCAGGAGCCCTCCTAGTCCCGGGGAGGCTGGGAGCCCTCTGAGCCCGTCTGGGCAGAGGCATAAGTCCTCTTGGTATTTCTACTTCTCAGATTTTAGGACCTATTAAGAAATAAGTAGGCCAGGCGTGGTGGTGCACGCCTGTCATCCCAGTGGCTTGGGAGACTGAGGCAGGAGGATCGTGAGCGAGTTCAAAGCCAGCCTCAGCAAAAGAGAGGCACTAAGCAACTCAGTGAGACCCTGTCTCTAAATTAAAAAATTACACAATAGGGCTGGGATGTGGCTCAGTGATGGAGTGTCCCTGAGTTCCATCCCTGGTGCCCCCCACCACCAAAAAAAAGGAAGAAAGAAAGAATTAGGCCATTACATTTCAGCTGAAGGACAGCTCTCTGGTGTTTGTTCTTGAGACGCAGAACAGATTTCAGTCACCAAACAGCACAACACAATGTGACTGCCACAACAGTCTTGAAAAGCCACCCAGTCGACAGACAACTGCAGCCTGCGTACGCCACCAGCAATCGTCTCAGGAAGAGGATTCTCAGGACGCCAGAGTCACTGTATCATGATACTCAAATCTGTTTTCATCGAAAACAGAAACACCATAAGGCATCCATAGAAACAGAAGAGCACGCCCATTGGTTTACAGGGGAAAAAAAAAAAACTAACAAAGAATCCGTGAGGACGGCCAGACTTTGGACTACCATAAGACTTTCCACCAACTGCGGTAAGTGTGCTCCAAGAACTAACAGAAACCAAAGAACCCAAAACAAGTATGAGACCGACAGAACCACACAACTGAAAGGTCAGTTACAGTGAAGGACCCCCTAGAGGGGCATCACAGCCAGGTGGACACTGGCTCAGGAGCGAGCAGAGAATGTGAGGATCGGGCCCCAGAAGTCACCCAGTCTGAGAAGGACAGAAAGAAGGGGTAAAGGAAAATGAGCAGAACCCACCAGACCCGAGGGAGCCTGGGGCATCCGATACACACACGACTGGAGCCCAGAAGGAGGGGAGAACAGCGTGGGAAGACTGGAGAAGTCATGGCTGAAAACACCCTAAGTCTGGTGAAAGACGTAACTCCACATGCCCAAGATGCTCCGCCAACAGGAGTGACAGTCGTTACTCAAATCAACAAAGAATTCTCCACTGAGTAATGACAGCAAGGAGCAAAAGGAATCACACCAAAAGCCCAATGAGATCAGAACGCTGACCTTCCAAAAGCAAAACGCCAAACAAACCCATAAAATGCAAAAGCAGGAGCTTGTATGCGCATTTTAACAAAATAGTAAAGCTAAATAAAAGGAAGTCCTGGTGTTCAGATCCCCAGAAACACAGAACAGAGCCCGTTGGCGGGGCCTTGGGTGAGAGAGCACTGGGCTCCCTGTGCTGAGGCCAGACAAGCAGCAGCTCACGTCACCTGCAGGGAGAGTGGCTGCCAGCACTCCCAGCCAAGGCCCCTTGGCTGCACCTCTGTGCAGTGGGCAGTCTGCCTCCTCGGAGGCACGGGCCCCAGCCATCCCCAAAGCAGATGTTGGCAGCAGCCTTGCCTTCCATCTGAGCCCCGGGCACACACCATGAAGCTCACCAGTGCTCTGCCACAGCGACAGCAGCACCGCTCACGGAAGGGCTGACGGGCACCCAAGGTGGGAGACAGGGTTCAAGTGGGCAGGCAGGAAGCTGGGCCCCCCAGGGCACGTCTGTGCAGCAGGGCTGGAAACCAGACCTGGGCCAGGCCTCACCAAGCTCAGGCCGACCCCCATGAGTCAATAGGGGGATGGAGGCCTGACTGGACCAGAGAGCGCGTGCAGGCAGGTGGACACGGAGTGCCTTAGCAGGGCTGGGCCGGGGGCCAGCTCCCCTGACCCTGAAGTCGCACACACACCCCTGGCCCACGGCACTCTCCAGGAGCCCTCTCTACAGGTCTACAGACCTGCCCTGTAGGAGCCCTGGTCTCTCCGTGTGGCTCTAATCAACCCCACCCCCTCACATCTGTCCTCCCAGACCACGACTGGCAACTTCCACCCGGAGCCCTGTTAAACCAGGGCCTGCAGGAGCCCAGAGCTCAAACGCGGACCCACCAGGCCACCTGCTGAGCTCGTGGACCTCCAGAAGGCATCTGGGGACCACGCCCCCTGCTTCCTGAGACTGGGCCCTCTTCTTTCTTTTCTTTTTAAAGATACTTTTTAGATGTTGACAGACCCTTATTTTACTCATTTATTTATACACAGGGTGGAAAATCAGATCCAGTGCCTCACACATGCTAGGCAAGTGCTCAACCACTGAGCCCGACCCCAGGCCCCCACACTCCCACCCCCAACCCACCCCCATGCCTTCTGACTTGACGGTGTGACCTTCGCATCATCTCCACTTTAGGCTGTAAAACCCCTGCCACCGAGAGACCCCTGGACCACAGGGGATGCTCACTGGTCATCGGGGGCATGAAAGTGAAACTGCGACGAGGTGTCCTCTCACACTGAGGCTGTCGCCAAAGAAACCCGAGTGAGAAAGTGAGGCCTGGGACACCCCCACACGTGGCCGTGGGGAAGCCAAGGGCAAAACCAGGTGGAAAGGCACCGCTTCCCCGTGACACGCCGTCCCCAGAGTCTACAGCCAGAGAACGGACACTAGCCCTTCAGGAAAGCTGCCCCTGGTGCCCAGAGCAGCCTCCCGTGCTGGCCCACACGGGCCTTCGCACCTCAGCAGGACAACCTCACACCCCCCAGGAGCCCAGGCTCAGGAGCGGTGCTGCAGGAAGCAGGCCCGTGGCTGCCCTGGGCCCAGACTCTGCTGGAGCACCGAGACCCTCTCAAGTTAGGTCACGGCCCGTGCTGCACAGCTCTAGCGCACCAGGGCATCTGGCTTTGCGCTTCGCGTGGGAGAACTGACACCCCACAGCCATCTCTGTGGAGCTGTTTTTTAAGAAAGCAGAAAGATGAGACCACTGGCAGGCTCTGAAAGATCTCCCAGGCATCTCAGTGCCAGGGCAGCTGGGCCCTGGCTGGACGCAGGTAGCATGGCTGAGGCCACCGGCTTCAGGAAGTACTTCTGTGGGTGGCTTCTGTGACACAGGCAGGCAAGGTCCTTTCCGATCTCTACAGGCCCCGAACGGCACAGGGCCACAGCACCCCCACCTGCATCCCTTGTAGGCCCCAGGCTCAGTTCCACTGCCACCACTGCAGAGCTCCCCCAGCCCAACTCCCAGCTGGGACAGACTTCATCACTAGGGACCACTGTCCCTGCAGGTGACCCAGGATGCTGAGGAACACTGAGCTTTAAAACTACAGGTGCCCTCAAGGGGCAAGAAACTCAGACATCACGGGGCCCTTGGCCCTCCAACCGCAGCACACAGCACCCAGAACAGAAGGGCCACAGCAGGCAGAGAGGCAAGGGGGACTCACACGGACGCTGTGGAAGAGC